GTGTTAGCTAAGTCCACATGGAATAAGCACACTAGTCTGTGTGATCCAATGAATATAAATAATAAAATTCGAGAACAGAGGAGGGAACGACATTAGAGTTTAAATTCTGAGTACCTGGTTTGCAGAAAGTTATGGATGACAGTGAAAGCGTACAATCCGTTTACAGCATGTCCACAGGGATTAAGCCTCCAGTGAGTCATCGCTGACCATTGACCAGGGATGTGAACAGCTTTGTTACCAGACAGAGCGCATTGGAAAGTGGGCAATTGCAGATGTAGTTAGGTTAAAATGTAACTCCTTATCATTTGTTCTCCCCTTTGACCCATTTACATTTTTTTCAAGTTTTTATTACTTTCTTTTCGACTGAGGTTTTGTTTTCTTTTGTTTTAGTTGTTACGATGTTTCTTTGCATTCTGGGCAGTGCTTTATTCTGCTGCACCATAGGGCTGCTCTGCGTCAGAATCAACTCGATGGCACCGACTTTTGCTCACTTAAAACGTGTAAGATGTAGATGGCGTTAATACGTTTCTGGTTGTATGTGTGTCACTTGTACCATGTCGGGCACAAGTATGACTTCATAATTGTCTTCATTTGAAGCTTATGTATGGTGTAAGGAGTTGTGTACAGGTGCCAAGTTGACAAGAGATAGACTGTGATAGGGAAGGTTTTGAGTCAGCTTCGCTGGGCCAGGGTTCTTTGTGGTTTGACAGGTAAATCCTAGTATTCCCCTTGGAGAAGAACTCTTCAAGGGTGTGGTCTGATTCTTCTTTTTAGGTTTTATGGGTGTGATCTACTTCTGATACAAGGGGACACTGTAAGAAAGTTTGCTTGCTTTTTACTGGGTCTGGATCCTACACCTGGTTAGTCATTTTTGGACTTGAGCCAGCAGCCTCAGTAGTACCTGCTGATCTTGGGGTTCAGCAGCAGCCTGCCATCTTACCTGCTGACTGAGTTCATTGACCTCTGTAGCCAGAAGCCTGCTGATCTCCGAGTCAGTAGCCCCTACAACAAAGAAATCTACAGCCTGACCTCTGACCCAAAGACTTGGAACGTGCCTGCCTCTCCAACTGTGTGAGCCATTTTCTTGATATAAATTTATCGTGACATATACTTTATCTTTATACATAAACTTATCTTTATATGTATTTTATCTTTATTTATATACTTTATAAAGACTTTATTTATATAGACTTTATCTTTGTATAGGTGGTAGTTACATCATCCTGTGTCAACTTGAGGACATTAAGAGTGAAGGGGTGGAGTCTAGCCTGTCAATCAGGTCACAGCTTAATGCCTCCTGGGGGCGTGGCCTTCTCATGAGGGTTCTGGGAATGTCCTCTCTTTCTCTCTGGAGGTGGGCCACACTCTCTCTCTGCTCTGCCTTGTTGTTGAGGAGACACCCTCAGAAAGCTGGAGGAGCCACATGGAGACCTGAGCCAGCACTGAGATGCTTCCACCCGCTGGATCCACAAGACTCCCCAAACACCGGCCTCTGATTTTCCTGCGTTTGGCATCATTGCATGTGATTGCATGAGTCTAAAGAGGAATTTATGGACTAGTATCAGACATATTGGCTAATGTCGGACTTATAGACTTTATCTGGAGTGGAATGGATCTAGGTGGGGATTTGAATCTAAGTATACGGTATGTCGTTTGCTAGCTGAGTGGTCTTCCTCATCTGTGCAGTGGGAACACTAAAATACCTACCTTCCATGATTGGGAGATAATACACAGAGAGCATCTTGTACACAGTAGCTCATATTCAATTGTTCAAAATAATTTGTGTATTTCTGGAAGTTTTGTATCTCCAAACTTCCTCAAATGTCTCTGAACTTCTTTGTGTGCTCTCAGCCTGGACAGAAAGTTCCTTCGTCTACTTAAATACCTCATGGTTCCATTCTCTTTTTCTCCTCTGAATTACAGGAAGATAACAGTTCTGAGACCTGAGATCTGAGACCTCCTAGGGTAAGGGCTTCTGAATTACTGACGAAGATCTGGTGTCGATATGTATATTAGAGCATTGATCATAAATTGAGGAAAGAATAGACCCTGCACATATAGCTACCACTATATACATAGTTGATGTGATACTCAGAAAACGGTCCAGACCTGTTTGGAAGTATTGCTGAGTCCACACTTTGTTGTCAGGTGTTCTCATTCAGGACCCTCTAACCCCATCATATGGGCCTAACCCCATCATCTGAGTTCTCACTTGAGAAGGGTCAGATATGGCTGCTACCAAACCAACTGAATGTTTAAACAACTATACATAATATATATACTTTTTCTTGGCTTTCTTTGTCTCTCAACATCTTTCCTGATCATTAGCTCCAGAGAGGGCTGGATGAGACCTCACACTTCTTTTAAATCCCTCCAGTCGTCTACACAGTGAGAATTTTAAAAATGCACACAGCAAAGACTTAAAAACACTGCCTAGTGGAAAATCTTGCTTGAATCTGCATCAGGCCTGAGGGAAGCTGAGCCACCCACACCCAGGCCAGGAACTCCCCTAATAAGGAGAACACTACCTTACAGTAGAATCAGCCTCGTTTCTGCCAGCATTAGGCTGGGACCCCTAGGCCTAGGGTGAAAACAGAGCCCAGTGGAAATTTCCCACCTCTTCCCTGCCCAGGCCCCTATTAGGCCCCTTATCAGGTTCCCCCTGAGTCATTCTGACCCAGAGACTAATTTAGATGCTGGAGGTTTCCAGGTCTCTGTCCCTCCCCCTCTAAGTAGGATTTCTTTGGACCCAACAGAGAAGGCATGGCTACAGGCAAAGGTTGTCTAGGTTCTCTCTCTTCCCCAGTCCCCCCACCCCAGTCCATCCCCTCCCCACCGCTGTCATCAAGTGGATTCTGACTCAAAGGCACCTTGTAAAATCTCTCTTCCTTCCTCTGTATCTTTGCTATTCTCCTAATCCCAGTGGCTTATTCCCTGTTCCAGAGGCAAGAACCAAGATTTCTTGCTTCCTGGGAAATAGTCATGGATGAGTAGGGAAAGCAATAGAGGAAAACCCTGTATGCTCCAAATTAGGGCGTTTCTGAGGCCCTTTAGAATTGGAGGAGTTGAAGGCTGAGTTTGATCTGACCAGCTCTCCCCTTTGGGTCACCTCCTCTCTCTTAGCCCCCCTTCTTTCCAGTGGACCCTGCCAAGTGGGGATGAAAGGAGCATTGATGTTTGCTGGATGGGGGAGGGTTTCGGGTGGTGGTTCCCAGGCAGGGGGGAAAGGGCAACTTGGGGGTCTTGGGGGAGCAGTCTGTGCAGGCGTTGCAGTTGGCAGCTCCAGTTCCATTAGCCATTGTTTCCAACTGGCCTGGTGCCCAGCCCCCGAAATGGCAACTTAGGAACCAGGACGAAGTGGGGAGGGGTTGGTAGTTGGGGGCCCTGTGAGGAGTGTGTGTCCCAGTGGATGATGGGGGTGGTAGGTAGTGGTGGCAGACAGGGATAGGTGGGGGGAACTTTAATCTGACATCCTTTTTGCTCAGGGCAACTTCAAATGTCCTTGGTTCCATCAATCAATTCCAGGGGGCTTCCCCCCAACTCCCCGAGGGACATAGGGGTTGAGCACAGTGGGGTGGCAAACCACCCAGGACTTGAGATATTCCCCATTTCCAAGACACCATCGCCTGGGTTTTGCGATTCTGCCAGGCTGAGCCGGACCTGCCCTCCTTCCCTGGGCGGGACTGGGCGGGGTTAGTGCCAAAACCACAGGGTCTCTTGGGTTCCAGCCCGGAACACTGCGTCCTCCCCGAGCCCCCACTACACCCCGCGAGGCTAACACCGCCCCCACGCCTGTTTACCCAGGAGTCAAAGTCCTTGGGGGTCCCTGGCCGCTCTTCACCGCCCCCCCCACCACTTGGGGCCTTG